CGCCCGCATCGTAATCAAGGAGAACACAACTCTCACATGAACTACCACGTGGGGTTGGATCCTTTACGAAAATATGCAGTTTTATTCAGGTTTAGTAGCATAATTTTTTACTAGATATTTCCTCCTGCGGGGGCTTGTGTTAATCCGTTACTCCGCCCCGCCCGGCGTGGCGATCCATCCCGTGATCCATGGGCTATTAACTACAACATAAAGTTGTTCCCGATGTGCTCGGGGACAACTTGACGTTGTAGTTAATAGCCCATGGGGAACATGGAGGCTGCACTTGACGTTGATGAAGATGGAACAGTGGAGCCATTTGCAAAAGGCATTGACTTAGGGAGTGCCGTTGGGATCGGTGGCAAGCGCCTGAATTCTCGATCGAGTTCGCGTTTTATTGCAGCTATCGTGGCAATTGCTGCCACAATATTCCTCATATACCAGTGTGCACTGCATATAGAAACCACAAAACTCAGGAATATTTCATCGCGAAGACTCTCAGATCAAGTACGGCTCGCTCGAATGTACTGGCCAGCGCACAGCACCCAAGCAGATGCCTGGCCATCGCAACACACAGCAATGAATCGAGGAATTTCCATCTATCTATATTCTTCTGCCAGCGTTGCGCTTTGTGTCTGAACTGATATACAGTGGCATGCGGCTGCTTATGTGTATGTGCAGCCCAACAACTGCAGGGGCACTGCCGGGGGAAGTGAAGATGCAACACATCTGCAGCAGCGCGCACAAGAGCAGCACGGAGCCTCAGATTCTGATGGAAGAGGAGGAGCCACAGGGATACTAGGGGATAATTTGCAGCACCTAAGTCTTCTTGCGGACATAGACCCACCACCCTACGAAGCAAGCGGATATCGTGGGCCTGACGAAGGGATAGGGCAAGTAAGCGGGCCCCACGACAGGGATCCACCGCCTTACGGGCAGGGAGATGCTGGCGAGGAAGCCGGACATAGCCATGGACCTGCGCATGGGCCTTCACCACCTGCTGGAGCGGAGGGCGGCGGGGAAACGTCTGAAGAAAGCGGGAGTAGCCAGGATCACCCGCTTGGGCCGCCACCCCCGTACGAGCCACCGGATCCTCGGAGATTTCCACAGGGGTTCCCGCACGGGGTCCCATACACATCNCACCCCCGTACGAGCCACCGGATCCTCGGAGATTTCCACAGGGGTTCCCGCACGGGGTCCCATACACATCCCCGCAAGAGCCTCCACCTCCTTACGAGCCGCGAGACTCTGAGTCCACTGCAGGAGGCGGAGATGCCCGAGATGATCAGCCGGGACCCTCTCAGAGGGCAATATCTTGGTGAGGGATGCGTTACAGAAGAGCAGCAAGATCTGCTGCAGACCTCTCTGTCGAAAGAATAGCTAAAGGGGCAGTAAAAACATTTTTTTTTGTAGGGGATGTGCTCTCCGCTGCTCCGTTCAGGCTTCGCGGATTATTCGGTGGACCGGTGTACGACTTCCCACGGATCAACGACCCACGGGTACTTTCGTCAATGCCAAATCATTGCGAACACAACTAGGAGATCAGGGGTTATGTATTGAGGTGCAGACGCTGCTGTATCCGCCGTTTAGAGGCTCCTGCCTTTCTGTTAACGAGTTGAAGGGAGTGTACGGCTTGCAGGGGTTCAAGTTACTGCCACTGCCTGCCCGCGTTGCAGCTATGACTTCGCCTCCTCAGACTGCATCT